CAGTCCCGGACCCCAAATAGAAGGGGGCCTGGGCCTGGCACAAGGGATGGGGGGAGGAGCAGGTCCAATGTGGCAGTAGGAAGCAGAAGCAGGCCGGGGCCAATGCAGGAGTGAGGTGGGGAGGGGAGGAGCGGGCCTGGGCCTGGATCTAATGCGAGGGATGTGGGGGAAGATTGGGCTCGAGGGGGACAGGAGAAGCTATCCTGCCGCAACTGTGGGGGGCGGGGGGAGAAGCAGACCTGGTCCAATGTGGGAGTGACAGGGGGCCCGGGCCCAGTGTGGGGATGGAGGAGAACCAAGCCCAAGCGGGAGAAGGAGGCCTGCTGCAGTGGTGGAGGGGGAGCAGCATGCCTGACTTGAAATGGCCCGACACAGCAGCTTCTGGGGGAGGGGAAGAAGTGGGCCTTCTCCCCACCTCGGGCCCAGGCCCTCTCCTCTGCCACTCCCACCCTGTCACCTCTGAGCCCACTCTACCTGTTCCCCCGCCACCACCAGGTCAGCTCAGGCCTGCTGCTCCCCCCACCACAGCAGGCTGACTTCTCCCCACCCTCAGGCCTGGTCCTGCCCCACATCAGGCCCAGGCCCACTCCTCCACTTCCCCTGCCACTGCGGTGGGGAGGGAGGAGTGGGCCCAGACCCCAAGCAGCGGGAAGTAAAGGGAGAGTGGGCCCAGATGGCGGGGGGGCCACAGGGCTCCCCCCCACCCATCATTACTGATGGGCAATTGGCTAGTATTACAGAAAGGCAGCTCAGGGGTGGAAATGAAGTGGGGCATGCTGGTTTGTGGGGCACAGTGACCTGGTAACAGTCAGTTCTTACTATTCTTAAATGTGGAGGTCTGCTAAAAGCATGGTGCTATCTAGCATCATCCACACACATCAGTGGTGGTGGTGTCCCACAGCTGCCACAGTAACCAATACTGAAGGACTGGAGTGGAGGGCTTTGTTTCACTTGATTTGCTGCTGGGTCTCTTGTGTCCAAGCTATGGATGAATAATTTGGGGGACTTTGGAGATGTAGAACAGCTGTTGTCATGCTTTCTATTAAAAATTATGTATGGGTCGCCAAGGTCCTAAAGAGGCTAGGATCAGACTGTCAGTTGGGAAATAAAATGCAGAGGTAATTGCATGCAAGAGAGGCCAGGGGAGCAAAGGTCCCCAGCTGAGTACTGTCTGGGTCACTCTGGGGCTTTTCTGTGCAACACACCCACCTTATTATTTGATTGACAGTTATTGTCTGAGTCTACATAAGGACAGAACCTGATCGCAGGCTTTCATATCATGTGGCCAGCACCTGCCTCAAGGTGATGTTTGCAATAGTTGTATTTTTCTAATAAACATAAAACGGAAGCAGTCTGATGTAAATCAGTATTACATCCTTGACTACAATGGTGCATTATCAGTTTATACCAGATGAAGACAAAAGCTCAAACTCTTAGTGCTGAGGCAAGCCGAGTCATCCTGAGGCTAGGGTGGGGCTTTATTGTGAGTTAGTTGCCCCACAGTAACTGGCCTCATACATGCCTGCAGTAGATGAAAGCTTGCCAGCAGCGGCTCTGCACTTTCTCATTTATTTTTCATTAAGGGGTAAGATTTGTTTGCAGCAGGGTACGTAGGAGTGCGCAAGGGCAGTTACCACAGAGCAGCTGTCACTCTCTGAGTCTGCATCCTCCTTTACCTCACAGTTCCATGCCCCAGGTGCCCGTGTCCTAAAAAGCCACATGCAGTCATAACACAACCCCAGTGGCCTCAATAAAGTTACACCACAGTTTAATTTGGCCCCATATGTCCTGTCCACTTCTAATTTTCATATTTCCCAGGCCCAAAAATATATTTTCAGCTTCTAGATACTTTGTTCTTAAGGAAACTCATTTGTTTTCTCATAATTAATAAAGAATATGTATATACTATTAATCCAGTTAGAAAAGCGAGCCATGGGTGATTATCAAATAATTGGTGACAATATAATAGCTTACATCTTTAACCCTGAAAGTCCCTTAATTCATAACCTGAATTCCTAAAGATCCTGAATTCTAATACAGGAGCCACTCAGAACTACCACCAAAATGCAGCCACTTCTGGGGTAAAATGTAGTAGCTCTTTAACAGCACTCGGCAGCACTGAACAAAAATTTAGGATTGGAAATTAAAAAAAAGAGTGTAGTGCCTTCACTGTGATTATAGAACATAAAGCATTTAAATCTGTATCTACCTACACATGCTGAAATCATTAGGACCTGTAGCTTCCCAGCACCTTACAGGAGTAGGCCAGTATTATCACGGTGCCTCCAACTGGTTATAGATGCAGAATTTTGGGCACCTGCTTTTGAAGCTGTCAGCCTCTGCTTCCACCTAAACTAGCAAAGTGAAGTTACAGAGACAAAATGTAATCAGTCCAGTTGGAATTTGGCCATAACATTAGCTAATAATGTCTGCTCTTGTGTTAAAAAAAAAGTTCTGTAAGAACTTTTAATGGTATATTGTTGAGGTCTTGGATAAATTGCTTAATTAAAAGGCATTGGATGGGCGGTAGCCTTGCAAGCTCAAGGTCACTACAAGTGCTTCTAGTATTTTTGCATTAATAGGATATAATCCTTGATGTCTTGGCCAGATATTGAGCCAGGTAATTCTTTTTTTATCTCCTCTACTCCCAGGGTGACTTCAGTGAGACACAGCATTCTCTGTTTCCCATTTTGAAATTTCTGTATGATGTTGCTGACACAGAATGGCTGAGGGGTACCACTCTAGTGCAAGCTGTATTTCACTGGTTGCTATAGGATGCCAGAAATATATATCTAAATCTGGAATGTACTTTGGGATGAAAGGTGTTGCTGTGTGGATATTAGGGCTGTGCGAAATTTCAGCAGCTGTTTCGTTCGGTGGTGTTTCGGACCATTTCAGCGCCTGAAACACCAAATCTGAATCAAAGCAGAAGGCTCCAAAACAGCTCTGAAATGAATCAGAAGGCTCCAAATGTTTTGGAAATGTTTTGAAGAACTTCGGCATTTTGGAGGCGGGCTTGCAGGAAAACAAAAACTAAGAAGAGGGGAAGGACTGCTCTGATATTGACATCTAGCTCCTGGTTCCCCAGCCCATGGTTTGATTCCCCAGCTCTCTGATCATTTTTCCAGCTCTTCCCAGGGAGGTGTGGGCCCCCGCTCAGTGCTCATGGTTTCAACAGGCTGCCGCTGCGGGCTGGGGCTGTGGCAGCCGCTTGGTGCAGCCCACGCTGAGCACACTGCAGTGCTGACTCTGGCCCCAGCCTGCAGTGGAAGCCTGCTGAAACCCGGCATGCAGATCTGAGGGGCCATGCCCCCCAGGAAGAGCTGGAGAAATCAAACCAAGAGTTGGGGAATCAAACCAGGGGCTGGGCAGTCCCTCACTCCACAGGGAGCAGAGATCCATGCCAGCGTCTCCTCCCTGTTGTTGCCTGCTCTGTGCATCTCCAGATCTGTGATCCCTGCAGAGCCAGGTTGCATGGCAGGGACCAGCACTGCCCTGCTGTATGACCTGGCTCTGAAGGGAGTAGAGATCCACCGGGGTCTCCTCACTGCTGCTGCCCACCCCACACAGCCCCACGCCATGGGGGCAGTGTGGCAGGCAGCAGTGGTGAGGAGACCTCTGGCATGGATCTATGCTCCCTGTGGAGCCAAGTCACATGGCAGGGACCAGCAGGGTTGCTCACCTCTTGGGGCTGCTTCCCTGCCCCGCGACCCGGCATGACAGGGATCTGAAGTCTGCACATAGGTCTCCTCCCCTGGATGAGCCACCCACTGCTCCATCCTACTCCCTGCTGGGGCTCCAAGCCCCCGGCCCCAAGCCCCACCCAGCTGGGTAGGACTGTGCGAAGCTTCCCTTGCAGCCGTTCAAAACAGATTTGGAGAAGATTTGGCGGAGCTGAATCTCCAAAACAGATTCAGCGAAACAAAATGGGAAAATGATCTGAAACACCAAAATGAACCACTGTCCTCCAAAATGGCCAAATCCAAAACTGAATCAAAACACAGCCATTGCATGCAGCGCTAGTGGATGTGTAATATCATTATACACCAGGTAGCAAAGCTGCCTAGCCCCTAGAACTTTCCCTGTCCTGGAGAAAGTAACCCTGCTAAATATCCTTTGCTCTTCTTAGTTCATATCCAAAAACAATCATGAGTAAAGAAATAAAAATCAGCCCACCCAATGAAAGGAGTTTTTTTCACCTTTTGAGTCTATTGGATAGTTTACAATGAAGAACTGGGTAAGATACAGTTTGATTCACTCTCCTCTCTCCATTCCAGGAATACACCATTGATGTTTTTTTCCGTCAGTCTTGGAGAGATGAAAGGCTAAAGTTTGATGGCCCCATGAAGGTCCTACCCCTTAACAACCTGCTGGCCAGCAAGATCTGGACCCCTGACACCTTCTTTCACAATGGCAAGAAATCAGTAGCCCACAACATGACCACACCCAACAAGCTTCTGCGCCTGGTGGATAATGGCACCCTCCTGTACACCATGAGGTAGGTATATGTCTCCTAGCCCCTGACAGAACCAGGGTACACCCATGGTTTTACAAATTCCTATGTATATGTGGAACCCAGGTAGAGCGTATGGTGTGATCTTACAGTATGCTACAACCAGGACTATGCATATTCCCTACTGTACCAGTGTATTTCAGTGGCAGCGGTGCTGGGAGGGAGGGCTGGGGGGCTGTGGTGAATTTTGGGGTGGGTGTAGTCCCCTCCCCATAGCCCCACTCCTGTAGGTCCCCTTGATGAGGGAGGGAGTGGGGTTGGGGCTGGGACTGGAGTAAGGACAGGTGTTGCCCAGTCAGGCCCTCCCAGGGTACACATAGTGTCACCCTGTGGGGTCAGGCCAACTCTCAGGATCTCAATATTGCGCTGTTAGACAGGAGGGAGAGACACAATTGGACATATACAAACACACAAATCAATTAGGTGCATACACACACATACTAAAAAAAAAAAAAAAAAAAAAAACAAAAAAAAAA